TGTACTTGGCATTACTACTGGCTGTGCTTAACATAAATTGATCTTTATGTGGTTACTCAAACTCCACAAATGTTTGAAAGCATATAGAAATTATCTACTGCAAAACTTCCATTAATTGTTTTTTCAAATTTTACATTTATTTTTTAAAGCGGTTGCAGATGGAAAGTGGAATCCAGGAAATACCTTACATCAGTAAGTAAAAATTACCTTGTTTTAATTCATGGTTTTGTTTGACAAGTAGACTGTCAAGCTCAAATTTTCATGTTTTTWAAGGTTATGCCTGCTTTTTGTTTATATGCCTCTTCTGCAAAGAGAGACTCATGACATAAAAGAGGATTGGAACTCGCACAGGATAACATTTCAGAAAGGAAAACACCGTTCTTGTGGAGTACGCAATGGTAAGCCCTCTTTCACTGGATGGTTGTACAAACTTCTTGCAATAGTTTGCAGGSGGGATATATTTTTCATTAATGAAACTGAAGTACAATCATCACTTATTTTATTATTCAGTTACTGCAAAATCATAACATTACATGATTATTTGTGCAACAGATAACAATTCCATGAATAATATAAGTCTCAAACAATTATCATTTGTATTTATATAATAGATTTTCAAAAGGTAGCACTCTGATTGGCTAAAAATCTATGTTTTATCAGAGGGTAGAATGATAGAGATGACTTGAATTTGACGACAGATGTTTCTTGTAAACAAAATATTCCCTGAAATTGTACACTCTTATAACTATATAATATAGAGACTATATAATATATTGTAAGTCAGATTGACTGTACATGAATAATAGAATCCATTACATTAATTTATTATTTTTCCTTTTTAATTTACAGCAGTAGCAACTGTTGCATTGTGAATTTAAAGCTYGAAAGGAAAATGTGAGAACTCAATTTTTTCTACTGGAGGTCTGCAGTTACAATGRTCTTTGCTGGCAACAGATCTATCTAAGATCCATATCATTATATATAAACTTCCAGAGTCTTGCTATTATTTTGTAGATAATAATGTATAGTTTAAAACTTAAACTTGAGTGTTTTAAACGGCTTCAACCAACACTGATTTGAAACTCAAATCCGTTAAATTCTTGGAGAAATTGATGTAGAAATAAATTTTGAGATAAATGGGACCGATTATGCGCAAATCWCTTTACAAAGCACTCTGGTCATCCCACATTGAATACGCATAAAGTAAAATAGAAGCGCTGGTGGCTGTTTACTGGAATCYGTTGACATCCTGCATTGGTCAATGATCAGGTATCAAACCTGGGACCTTTGCTAGGATCATCGACCTTTACATCTGATAAAGGTCACCCTTATTAGTATTCTTTATATAAAGAATTAAGAATACTAATAAGGAGTGTTTTATCAGATATAAAGCATGTGACCATATAGGCTCATTCTATTAGCCTAAWAACTCATTAATTATGTTAATGTATGAGTTTTTTAAAGAAAACTAATTCATGGGTACATTCCTTATTCAAATACATTAATATATGCATTGATTAATAGAGAGTGTTACAGTTATGTCATCAAATTCTTTTCAAATTCTTTCAAGGAACCCAGATAGTTTTGTATGTTTTATATACCAGTAGTGGAGATTACATGTGCATGTATTTTTACCTTTGGTGCAGCTTGCTGCAATAATCTAACCAATTAGTTTATTTTTGACTGTTAAATAAGATGCTTTAGTTTAATACATATGATTATATACTCTAGTCTAMAGCCTTCTATAATCAAAACATCATTATTTACCTTTTGGACTCTAATGTACGCACTGGGCTTTCTCAAATGAGAGAGCTTGTTTCCAATTAATGATAAGCCTTTTCTTCTATTCAAAGTTACTTTGGCCTTGCCAGGCATAACATAAACACCATAARTTGTTTTTAAAGAGTCACCATCTAAAATTTGAGAGGCCAGTGAAGAATTTTCTTGGGTATGGGGGAGATTTGTTCCAGAAGAAACACGTAGAGCTCCTGATCCTTGCCACTTAAAGAAAAGAAACCATTTTCTAATAATGGGTAAAAAAGACAAACTTTCCTCTACTTACTTTAGCTTCTTTCTTATACTGTTGAACTTTCTCTATAAGAATGGAATTGAAACCATTCCACATCTGGTTTGCTACTTGGGCTGCCAATGATGTGGAAATTAGTTTTAAAATTTCTGTCTTTGAGAGCTCTGGGAGCACGCCAGATAGAAAAAAAAATACAAATAAATGGCTCGAAGGAAGAACATATTCAAAGGCTCATGCAATCAAGTCAGAGGAATTTTATGGACTGTCATTTTGTACTGAGAATTTAGAGTATTCTACTCATGTTGGCCTRGATATCCGCAGGCATTCAAGCATGGATAATTMTTCGWGCGAGCTTTTTGAAAGAGCAATCCTGACACATAAGACCCAAAAGCATAATGCTAATGGCCTGGAGAAGACATTTGTGACAAGGGAGAGCATTAGGAATTTCCTGAATGACTATGAGCAAAAAAATGGAAATTTGAGCTCATTTGACTCCCATGCAGTTAACTACAGATTCAGTCTCGAGACATCAACTTCAGTGCCATTTTATCTGAATGAATCATCATTGGATAGTGCTACATCACTATATGAGGATTTACAAGAACACAAGCACATGCCTTCAATAAGCCATGCCTTATCGTATGGTATTGCAATAGGTTACGTTTCCAAGAAAGGATGTTCACCTGAAATCTTGAATGACATCAAGCGATTCTTCAACAGTCAAGAAATTGATGTTGCTGAAGTACCACGGATTCTGAACTCTGTGAAACGATTGCTATTGGAAAACGAAAATGGAACAATGATTACCATATCAAAAGGAAACGTGTGCAAAATTGCTTCTACTATTGTTGCAGAGGAATGGACCATGGAAGTAGAAGTTATCTTCATCATTGGACCAGTAAATGGCACGTACTATACCTTTGTCAATGGTCCATATTACATACCTCTACTTTCTAATGGCACCGTGGACAAATACGATTGGACTAAAACTCCCAAGATGATTCCAAGAACATATATACGCAACAGTATTCAACCTGTGAAGAATGTCTTGAGAAAAGTCATTATTTATCCTGAGCCATCGAGCATTGATCATCCAAACTACTACCTCTGCATTGAAACTTCAAAAGCTAACCTTGTTGGAAAAGTCAATGTCCCAGTTTACCCCAAGACACTCAACAATGTGTGTGTCCAAGGCACTGGGAGAGAGTTATGGTATGGACTTGTTCAGGATGTCGACAAAGAAGCAAAAACGTTGACTGTGAAATGGTACACAGAAACAAGGCGAGAGGGTGTTTGGACTTTAAGCAACCAGGAGGATATTATCCAGTTTTGTTCCATAGTAAGGTTGTGTAATGTGGACAGAATATTTGGTGGATACAGTATTTCATAGTTTCGTGTGTGTTTTTCTTAATACTTAGTACAATGCACATTAATGTAAAGTTTATATCTTCATGTTAATATTACACTCCAATAGATGGGCGTACGATGACGTAGTTTGTTTACTTCCAAAGCATAAAATTCGAAAAATAAGCAATCTGAACTCATAGAATTCAAGATTATATTAATGTTAACAAAACCTGAAAATTAATGTAAAGGCCTATTTACATTTCGAGATCAGCATTTCAAAACTACAAAATCTATAGAAAACATTCAGTGGTTGGCAAAATAATGCCAACCACGGTCATTTCTTTACAAAATCTTGCAAATTTGGCGCTTGATACATGTATCTCTTGAAATATTTAACCAATTTCCTTCAAATTTGCAGGAATTGTTAACAGGTATGAGCTCTTTTCATTTATGGACTTGATTTTCTTGTGTCTTGAAATTCGATTTCTGACTTTTATGCAAATTAGCTAAAACGTAATCATTGGCGCCCAACTATACAATRTAGGTCTGGTGCTACTAAGAGTCATGTGATACCACCTACTTTTAATCAACTACCTATCACAAAATGATGCCCAGAAATGGAAAGGAAGGTTGTTGCAGGTAAAATGGCAAAGTTTTAAGTCTCAACCCTATATACTTCAAGAATGGCAGCAATCAAAAAAAAACTTTTTTTTAATTTTATAAAGAATATGTATTCTATTCTTCTATAATATTAGTTTTTAAAAAAACAACAACATTYATTTGTATTTGCTACAATTTTTTGTAAGCATTTAGTGTTAAGACATGAAACTATGACTTCTCACTAATTCCTGCTCTTTTCATTGCTGGGCATCATTTTGCCACAGCTGATGCTGATTTATCAAAATAAAGGTGCAAACACTACGGCAAGGGCTGAAATTCAAGACCGAGGGCTGGAGACCTGTTTAGAAAATTAAATGGTCACGCCCCAATTCTATTGTTTTTATTTTTCACTTGTTTAAATAACATGTTATTTTGAAAATTATACTTGAGGTTTCTTTATATTTATATATTRTAAGTAAAGAAAGGTATTTCATGGAATAACTTGCTTGTAGATGTAATCATATGATATGGCCCATTTATCAGCACCTTCAAATTGCTTGAGCACAAAGCCCTGAGCATACTGCAGACAGTTTCAGGTCATTTTTCCCTCAGTTGTATCTTAGTTTGTTATAATAAAAAAATATTATCAGCACTGATTCATGGTTTCACTTGAGTTTTTAACATTCTTTTAATTTTATTGTCAACAAATTTACAGACAATAGAAATGAAGAGTTGCACACCAAGGCATAAAGTACAGAATTTATCAATATTAGTTACATACCTGCTTGTAATGCATTTTGCAAAGACAGTCTATAATTTGGGTTTACATGAGTCAACCTCTTACCAATGTTTAACAAATTATGTTTTTTGTCATCAAGCTGCCCTCTGTTATTAAGGAATTTCATGGTACAACAAAAAACATAACCAAATGAATATGTGTCAGTGACCTCACTTGGCTTTTTTCCTTTTASAACCTCAKGGGCAATATGGGGAYATTTTTTCCTGAAGTTGTCCCTTTCAATTGCACTTAAATGTTGCTTGTGTGTTGRTCCTGAAGGAAAAAATATCACAAGCAAATTGAGACTATGATTTGATACTCAAGGTTTCAAAGCACTTTTTAAGGCTAAGCAATGTATAAAGAACACGAAAGTGTATTGATTAATGATTTGAGCTACAGCCAAGAAACTTTCACTGCTGATACAACCTACTTTAAAATATTTATTAAATACATGAATACACRTTTTATTATCCAACACTTTGTTGATAACATCTACATGTATGTGAGGTAAGGAAATTTCTTTACAAAGATAATTCCTTGATAAGGGTATATAAATGGTTATGTTTAGAACATTGTCAGCATAAATTGTATAAACCACGGCTGAGTAGACCATTTTTAGAAGTAAAATTTTATTTTTGACCATTATAGATTCAAAGTCATTTCAGCTCGCTGTTTTAAATCCTCATACAGATCGCCCGCTCATATTGTATATATTACATATCAACTTCATTGAGCAACTCTAATTTAGGAAGAAGGTCTAAGAAAGAAGGTCTGTTTGATGAGGGTTGAAAACAGAGACACAGCACTTCTTGAGCACCAGTGGGAATGTCCGGAAAGGTGGGATATTCATTCCTTGCTATGGCATTCATGACCTCCCGTCCATTCATCCCATCCCAAGCTTTTTTTTTTTGCTGTATACCTCTCCCATGATCACTGCAAATGAATAAACATCTACAGCCACCGTAGGTTTGTCCCCGTCAAGTTGCTCTTTGTGCTSGTAAGCCAGTGTCCCAGCATTGCTGCCACCAGCATTGGTAACCATTGTGCCATCCTTTAACTTGCTGACGCCAAAACCACATATTATAGGTTTGAAGGTTTTGTCCTCTACCTTTTGGAAAGAGTGAAGTAAAGTGCAGAACTTCAAAATACAATCTTTTCATGATATATTTTGTATTAGCCTAACCATGATAGTGTGAGGATTCCTACAAATAAATATCTTAYTGTACATTTTACCAACACAACGTATTTTTTATATTCGTAACATCACATTTGCAGGCTTCAGATCTTGGTGAATAACACCTTTTTCGTGAAGGTACAGCATTCATTGGGCAATATAGAACATTATGTACCCATTATAGGTTTCATCTAAAAGTGTTATCTGCAAACAAGCAAGAGATAAGTAGAAAAACATTTAAACAATGTAATATCGACATCAATATTTATCCTTTGGTATCCTATTTATCCTCAGACAACTAGACTATGAAGGTTTGCAGAAAATGTYCGATAACATGTTTGTTTGACTGCACAAGATTTTGAGAATATCAATTCTTTTTTATGGAGCAGAAACGCCTACTGAGTTAATACTGTTTTTTCTTTAATATTTGAATATGGGTAACGAACTGAACGAAGTGCGCTCAGTYTTACTGAAAGTCGCAGATCGTCTTTCAGCTCTACAAAAATCAAGTMCGCAAAGTAAGTCTAAGTCGTCTAAGTGACATTGTGTTTGAAATAACAGATGAGTTACAGATGGGACCGGCTTTTAATTGTGATCTTTYSTGAGTGCCAGAATCAATTGTGTTTTGGTTAGGTTGATTTGTATATSTAGATGCTGTTTATTTCTTGTTTAGCTTCTGTTCCATTTTAAATTGAGCTTTTSTATTTAAGTATGTAAGCTTTWATAAGCTTATGTCGAAATTCGCCGAAATCTATATCAACTTCCAGGTAAATTAAGATTARCCAAAAAGTATACTTAACTTAACTTAAAGTTATTGAGTGCAGCCTTGCATGTGTTCAGTTGATTTTAAAAACTATTGGAAATATGGTGGAAAAAAGGGGTTGATTTTTTTTCTTATGGTCATTTGATTTGACCTCTCACAAAATTATCAATTAACAAAAGGTCAAATTACGCTCATCCTTCGGCGAAAAAGTATTATTCCAAGACAGTATTGTGACCAATCAGCCATTTTTAAAGTGCTAGTCGACGTAAAAAAAAAAAAAAAAAAAAAAAAAAAAAATCAAGACCACCCAATAAATCACCCATCCTCCCCTCCCATAATTAATGAACGGTCAGTCATGAAGGTCTCATTGATTTATTTTGAAATTGAACTCTGTCATTAGATAATACCAGGCATCCACAAGTTCTGTTGCTGCTGAACAGCGGAAGCTGTTCGGGTACTCCGGAAATCGGACAAATAGAAAAGGGGTGAAAGGAAAGAAGTCCCAACCAACTTTAACAATTAAAGTGGTATGTTTAGCTTCGAAAGATGCAGTATCTCCACCGACGACAGTAAAAGAAAGAACATATCTATCAAATATTGGTTTAGGGGATGCCTCCATTGTAGTGCCAGCCAATGACCTGATCTACGACATCCTTCTTGAGACATTTCCTCTACTAAGCAATGCTGGAGGCTTTGAAATTTGCCTTTTTCAAAGAGGTGGTGGGGAAGAAGGCGGATTTCATTTCATTAACCCACCTCACACTGCATCAAGGGTCAAACAAATTGCAAGGCAATCAAATGTATACATTAAAGTGCGGGTACGATGAAAACCGAACATCGAATTTGAGCTTTTTTTGTACACATACCAGTTTATGGAGATTGAAATAAGAATATAAGAGCATTTTTGTGCTGATGCAGCATTGAAAGGTGGGAGAAATCGAGCTTTAAAAGTCGGATTTTCCTGTCCGCCATTAATCGGAGCCTCAATCCTATTG